GCATAAGGGGACAGGAGAGAGAGGAATGCTATATTTAGAATGGAACATCCTAAACTTTCAGCAAAGAATGGCTCCATTCACAGGTACTGTAGTGACAGAGACGGGTCCCTGCCAACACTTAAAACTAGTTACTGTGTTTGCCTTCAGCTGGTTGAAGCCCGCGGTGGACCCCGTCGGAAGCGACGGTCGAACCGTCGTGTGTGGGGCATATAGACAGAAGACAGCGTCCTGAGAAGAAACTCACCTTAGTCCTAGAGGAAACAATCTAATCAGTGGGCGGTGACGCTCCAGAAGGGACATCCGGAGTTTCACTTGTGGGCTGGGCCTTCTCTTCTCCTGAAGATGGAAGATCGGAAGATAAAGCTGTAGACTGCGGCAGTTCCGGCGTCAAAGTCCTCTTATTTCGATGTTTCCGAGTGTGCTGCAATTGCTGGTCGGTTGCGTGTGATGCTGTCTCCGGGTTAACAGAAGACTGTTTCGACTGCCGTGCGAGTTGCTTGGTCTTTTGAAGTTTTGCGGCCCTCTTTCGCGCCTTTGCAGACTTAGGTTTCTTTTGGCATTCCGCCTTCTTCTGACCACCCGAAGACTCTGTCGTAGAAAATTCACCGGGCTCGGTGACTGGGTATGCCAATTTGGTGGGAGAGGAACTGAGGCTGCCTTCTGAGTCCTGTAACAAACCCATGGAGCGTGGCAGAGATGCCGACTCCATGGCATGCAATTTCAGACAGTCAATTGGGATGCAGGAACTTGTGGGGGAGGCAGTAGTTTTTGTCTCTTCTGCCACCACTTGTTCATCCTTTGCCTCCTCAAAGGGATCTACGGTGACCACTGGGGGTGTCACTGGAGCGAAGGAAACCGCCTTGTCTCCCTCGCTTTTATCTCCACTGACAAGTTCTGGTGTGTCTTTCTCAAGGACCAACTTTTCGATAGGCAGATCAACAGGAGCCCGTGCTTCTTGAGAATCTCCTGACTGACTGTCTGGTGGTAGGATACTGAAGGAGAGAGGGGATATGACAGTCTCCTCAGTGCATGACTGGCTGGGGAAGTCACTCTCCAACACAAAGAGTGAATCACGAGCCGAGGATGGTGTGAGCAGGGTATTGGAAGAGAGCCACACGCCCGGACCGGAGGAGTAGGGAAGCACAGGTGATTGCGAAGAGGGCAACATATTGGGAGAATGTGGACGTGGAAAGAAAGACGGTGGGAACATGACTGGGCAGGGTCCAGGATGATACACGATGGAGCGGCGGGCCGCCCTGAAGTCGTCGTCCTGCAAAATATGCAACATGGGAGTAAGCATTATGTGCAGGCAAATAAGGTTTTAGGAGACCCCCCAGAATGAAGGCAATTATGATTAAGTTCCGCCCAAAATTAGCCAGATAGTGACAGAACTGACTAAAAAGAGAGGATGTGACCAGATAGAAAATGCTCCAAAAATTGAAGTTGTCTGTTTTACCACAAAGCCTTGACAAAAATGACTAGACTTAGGCTAAAGAAAGTTGGGTGCGGATTGGGAGACGTTGAGCTGACATATAGAACACCCATAAGAAAAATAGGTTGGCAAATACTGCAAGCAGAGAAAGCAAACACTACGGAAACGCACGTAGGGGTCGAAACCCACAAACATTAATATGCACAAGTCGCTTTTAATCGTATGATTAGGCTGGAATACTTATTAGAATTGCACATGACCACATAAGATTTACCATTGGATATAATACGAGCTCTTGATGGATTTTAAGTGTATTGTGTGCTAGCCCACAGGTAAAGAGGGCGTGTGGTCAGCTGAATGAATGAAGTCTGGAAAAGCATTAAAGATCAGTTGTCTCGGCCTTTTCAGTCTTCGTTCCAGATACAAGGATAGGGTGATTAGCCATCTATTAAAGAGTCCCTAATGACAGCTTGCACCAAAAGCTATTTGAGACGAATCAGCAAAAAAAAACGATCTATATATCTCAGCTACACGACTGTTCCGCGCATATGAACACATGTTAACTGGCATTACAAAGCCTGCGTTTGTTACGACGAGTTCGTCCCTGTGCGTCTTGCTCTATTTTAAACAGTATCGCCAAATGATTGGCTGATATAGGAGTAGGAAAATCGCAGGTGGAACTCTAAAATGAGCGAGTGATGTTGCACATCCGCACCAGATCCAAGTCTGCGTGGGTTTTCCTTTGTCGACAAATTTAGATGTACCCCAAGACTGTCAACAGACAAATACTGGGGCTGCTGCTGACAGTTGCAATCAAGATATCTGGTGCCCTTTTCCAAGGTCAAGGTCAGTCACTCCCCAGGCGAACGATTCCATGCGCGCTGACCTTAGTCTGACGAACTGCAATATGCATACACGAGCACATTCACGCTGTCACAACCGTAGATGCCTCAGGTGAAAATACCAAACCACGGCTAAGACAACGTGCGCGACTGGAACACCAACACTTCAACTTGTTCTGATAAACGAATAAAAGCAGCTGACATTACTGGCTCCTGTTCTCTCTCCTGCTCTCGAACATGACTTGATAACGCCAACACATGTCCTGATCTCGGCAGTGGAAACTGTCGTCCGGGGTAGGAATTCAGGGTTCTGCACAGAATAAAAGCCCCAAACAGGTATCCTCTGTCTTATCCTACAACTCTGGACCTGACTTGATAATTGCGATGTTCTGAACAGATTCACTATGTGACTTAACTAGTCTACCTTCTTCGCTGCGAATGCATATTCGCCCAAGCGCTAATATAATCGTCTACTGGTCATTCTAACGTAGATTATTCCACAGTAACTGCATCAGACACCGTACGGCGTGCACTTCAGGAGAAACTGTCCTCTGGTCTCGTCATATGACGCAGGTTCGCTGCGTCGTGTGTTTATGCGGTGCTCATGATATATATCGCTGTAGGAAAGCGTTCCTAGGCCTTGGATCGTCCAGTGGCCTTTTATTCAGCTATTTCCGAAGGAATGTTGTGTTCAGTAAAATTAATTTTAACATCGACGGGAGTTAGAAACACCAAAGGTTGACTACAATGTCACTCGCTCAATTGCACCTTGTGCAAACTCTCTTGTAGAGGATAAGAAGGGGAATGTGTTCGTGAGACCGCACGCAATAGAATGGTGGAACGGCGGCATAGCAGGCTGGTGTCAAAGAGGAACCAAGAGTGACAATTTCGTTGATCTTTGCCTTTATTGCAACAACATTTCCATCTCGGTTTGTTCATGGATAGGAATCCTCAGTGGGTTC